CTCTTTAATAGGGAATAGAGCAGGGGTTCCCAAACTTTGTAACGTTTGGAAGCCAGACTCGTCAGTTGAAGTAAAATATGGCCCTGCTTCAGTGGTCAGTGGGAGTGATAAATTCTACATGTCAGAGCAGGGGCGTAACTAGAAACCACAGGGCCCCATAGCAAAATTTTATATGGGGCCCCGTGATTTCTAGTTATACCCCTTGCAGGGCCCACTCGAGATCCCACCTGAGGGTGAACTTGTAGAGCCCACCATAGACTCTCTGCAGAGTCACCCTCAGGTGGGCTGGTCATACTCCTTACCTGTCCGCCTCCTCTTCCTCCACGGTCGCTGATGGGCTCCGCCTCCTTCTCCGTCGCAGGGCCCGTCTCCTTCTTCATCACCGGGCCCCGCCTCCTCCCCTGCTGCCGACCACGGGCCCCGCCTCCTCTTCCACTGCCGCTGCTGGCTCTCATTGACTCTGTGGAGAGGAACGCGCTGCTGCACAGATTACTGTCAGTGATCTGAACAGCGGCGTGTTCGTCTTCAGCCGCCAGTGAAAGCCACCAGCAGAGGATCATATAGCGACCCAGGGGGCCCGCACGGCATCTGACTGGGCCCCATTGTGCCCTGGGCCCCATATCGGCCGTCTGGGTCGCTATGGTGATTGTTACGCCACTGTGTCAGAGATTTGCTGAAGTAATATATGCCCCAATGTAATTGAGCCGTGGTAATAAATTCCCCCATACAAGTGGGAGTAACAATTGCTCTGGCATCAATGGTCAGTAGGAGTAATAAATTCCCTGACATAAGTGGAAGTAAAAAAATGCACCAAAATGAGTGGTCAGTGGGAGTAATTCATTTCCCAATGTCAGTGGTCAGTAGGATTAATAATTGCCCTGACGTCAGCAATAGGTGGAAGCAATTAATGCCCTTGTGCCAGTGGTTACTGGGAAAATGTCCTGGTGTCGGTGGTCAGTTGGAATAACAAAAGGCCTCACTGTCACTAGTAACTGGTGACACTAAATGCTCCTGCATCATTGAACAGTAGAGGCAATCGTTAGACATGTGCGATTCGTTTCGTTACGAATCGAAATTCGTACGAATACACGGAACTAATTTTTTGACGGCGCACAAGTCTAGCAATCTTTGCAGGGTCAAGTTTACAGCAACCAACAGGCCATAGTTTCAAGACCACTGGAATAGAGGGACACTCATAATTTGTTTGGAAAATTCTAGTTTTGTTAAAGGAGAACTATGGGGTTAAGGCTTTTCCCCATAGTTCTCCTTAGGGTAACGGGAGGACACAAACTAGCGTCCTCCCGTCACCCTAGGCTCAGTATACTGAGACGCCGCCATATACCGCGAGCTGCTGCTCGCAGTATACTAAGACGCTGAAACGGATCCCGACAATTATGTCTGGATCCGCCCAGCTGAGTGACTGACAGCTGGCTCTGCCTATCTACAGTAGAGGCAGAGCCAGCTGTACCCGCCCCCTCCCATGTCCGTTCCACCAGTCAGCACTGGCGGATCGGAGCGGGGAGGGTGGAATCCAGCCCCTCCCCTGTCACGGCAGAGAGCCGTGACAGGATCGAGAGGTGAGCGAACGCCGGTATGTGTTCGCTCACCTCCCGATCTACTGACCTGACCTGTGACAGTCTCATTGTCACAGGCCGGCTAGAACTATCAGGTGAGTGAAAAGCACTCGCCTCGTAGTTCTCCTTTAAGAAAAAAAAGTCCCTCCAAGTCAATTATATACAGCATTCTGTATAGATTTTAGCAAACCTTATTGTGTATGCTTACCTGTTTCTGTTCTGTAGATATTGATTGAGGTCTTGCCATGCACTTTCCCAAGCTAACTGCTAAGTGAGAGAGTCTTCCACTCAGTTTCTGTGTTGTGATATGAGAAACTGAACCCTCTGCATCACTGTAAAAGTACATTCCAATCAAAAATTAAAATCAAATCTTGAGAGGTATACAATAAGCACAGGCTGCATGAGTGGTTAAAGACCCTCTATAGGCAAATGTAGTCCACCTCTCAATTCTTCCCACCCATTTACAGTAAAAAAAACTTTCTAACAACAGTAGTTTTTACTCACTTGAGTCTGTTATCATATTACCGTCCACAGCAGATCTTTGTTTGTTGCCACCCCTTATCATAAAGTGATCACACCTCTACTGCGGCCTGAAACAGCACAACTCATGTTTAACACTATATCATGTTCATTATATGTATATCATGTATGGATGCCTAAGGCCTTGTTCACACCAAGCGCGTTCCAAGAGCAGAGCAGTTACAGACCGGATCAAAACTGCGTCCAATGTATTCCAATGGTATTTTGGGCTCCATGTCACAGTGCAGCGTTCAGTTCCAGAGCATGTAAAAAAACTGCAGCAAGCCCTATTTTACCTGCTCTGGAACGCATGCAAACGAATCAAAAACGCATGCAAATGCCTGGAACGCACTGAAAACCCATTTCAAACTAAAAAACGGCCCGGAACGCATCCAAAACGCGGCAAAAACATGGCACAACCCACTGCACTGCATGTGCAGAAACTCATGCAGATCTGATTAAAGTGGAAGTTCACCCTAGAATCACTCTATGAGCATTAAACAGCTATATAACACATATACATGCAGAGCACCATGTTTGATTTCTGTCCGCACATTCGCTGTGCAGCGATCAGCATTCGAAACTGCCAGCCATTTACCAATGACACCATACCAAGACTTTTATGATTGCAAAGCATGATTAAAAAATGCTTCCTATGTGCTGATGCTGTCAAAGACATACAGTAGAACAAAGAGGGCTTAGCGATATCATGAGTTTCATGGTGCCACTGGTAATAAATGGCTGGCAGTAATCAGCCTGAGCTCTAATAGTGGGAATTTATCAAAACTGGAGCAGGCAACATCTGTAGCAGCTGTGCACGGCAACCATTCAGATTCTCTCTTTAGTTTGTTCAGTTAAGATGAAAGAGAGAAGCTGATAGGTTGCCATAGGTTGCAACTGCTCCAGTTTCTCCCTTCATAGTTGCATAGTTACATACTGTATAGTTACATAGTATTTGAGGTTGAAAAAAGACACAGGTCCATCGAGTTCAACCTTTGTGAGTGTGTGTGTGTGTGTGTATGTGTGTGTGTGTGTATGTGTGTGTGTGTGTGTGTATATAAGTCTGTGTGTTCCAGTCATTAAGAGTACCTGTACCCCTGTGTTTCTGTATTTGCTGAAGCACTTCTTAATGACAATTTACACATTTTTTTTATGTGTCAGTACGGTAAGAAAACATCCTAAATGCGTCAAGCTAGTTCTCAATGTGAAGAACGTATACCAAAACAAAAGGTGAATAGAGACAATTTTCAAAAAAGGAAAACATCTCCTTGAATGCTATCATCCCATAACATATAATTACCTAGAAAGAAGCCAGGATTGCACTGGGATTTTTTAAGACTATGGAATCCGAAGATTATACAAATAATTCCAAAAGTGTATTGACACATCCAAGACAGAAGATATACTGTATATATTCCTAAAATTTCCATGGAAACAATTTAAAACTTAAGACTTATGTTCACCAAATCACATATTTCTGATCACCATCATAATTGCAGAATTAGATATAAATGTCGTTATCCCATTTTGCATGGGATAAAATGGTCAATGCGTTTCGAAGGCTACGTCCACTCCAGACCAATGGTGAGATTGTGGTCAATAGTTTATATATTTATTTAGAAAACAGTACCCATAAGGGGAAATCTGTGCAAGAATTTTCATCAACTAATATAGAAACCTCTTCAAATACTACCCTATATCCATAAGTGGTAACGGCAAGGATCTCTCCCATCCAGCAGGTTGCAGAAAATGTGTCCAGTGCCTGAACAAGGACCTTCATGGCAGGATCACCAGGTATTATTTTACTGAAAACTGCAGATATAAAAAGACTGAAAACAGTTTTGGTCAGTTCATGTTCCTTTCTGCTGTACCTGACTAGACTGAAGAAAATTCTAAATAAATATTTAGAATTTTTCTCATGTCAGTGGAGATAAGAAAACCTAAGTGATCAGTGTAGGAAAAAGGTCCCTGCGCACCCAAGAAAAAAAGGTTAAAGTGTGTCCCCTCCATAATCTGTGAACTACTTTATCAGCATAGGTTGCAGGCATACCTCCCAACTCTGCTGTTCCTCCTTAAGAGCCAAACCCCTATGTCCTTATTGTCTCCTTAGTGGTCCCTCATTTTAGTCTGATGTACAGATATCTATGAAAATTTTCTATTTAACTACCAAATGTCTTATTCTGCACTTAAACCTTTGTCTTATCACTTACTTATTTTGTTTGCTTTTTTGAAAACCTAATATAAAAAAAAAATCTGGGTTATATCAATAACATTGCCATATAAATTCTTGATGGTCCGCATAACTGGGAGTGTGGCATGGGTGTGTCCATTGCCTAAATAGAATAGCTCAAGACATCTGCCTCTTCTGCCTACCCCTTTAGTTGAATCGCTATAGTCAATTTGACATTAAGAAGCAAAATGTCGCTGTTACAGGGTGGACAGAGGCACCATCATTAGATTAGTATGCTCTGCTACAAAATGAATGTCTTTAGAAAAGCTATAGAGGTGAATGCAGAGTAATTGTCACTGGTGAGCTCATCACTGGCATGAAATGCTGCTAAAACTCATTGCTGCAAATCGCTGTAAATTAAAGTTAACAAGTTAGCCAGTCCATGGGAAAAAAACCTATAATTTCCTTATCGAGAAATTGTTCAAAATAATAAAGAGGATTGCTGTGAATAAATTGCCCTTCTGGCATGGTCCATTAGCTAAATATTTAGATTTAAGGTGTTTTTCTATGGAAGATCTGCATCACATTCAATGTTGATGTTTCCAGCAGATTCCACTAGGGGTCACCAGAAGCTCCAGGCAGTGGATGGCTAAGAAACTTCCTAGGGACATCCCTTTGTACTGAAGTTGTTTATACTGGTGATCAGAAGGACCACCCTCTATGCCTGTCAGCCAGTGTTCCTTCCTTACCTCCAGCAGCATCTGCTCTTCTCACAGCCCTGCTGCTTTCTCAGGACTCACCTGTTATTCTGTATTGGCTTCCTATGAATCAAGGTAAGCAATTCACATTGCACTTTGCAGGGGGTACTTATTGCACCAAAGTTTTCTTAGACATCAGCAGCACCTCATCCTGTTTATAAATATCTTATGTGTTGTAGCCCTAATATTGTCATTAAATACTTTTCTGTATAATGCATATTACATTTTATGATGTAGTTGTTTGTACTAAAAATAGTCATTCTGTATAACTGCAAACAGCCTTAGAAGTAACGGATGTACATTATTGTATCTAATGCAACAAGATATAAGCAAGTGTGCATAAAGGCATACGCCACAGAATATCTTATTACTAGAGAAATAAATTTTCTGCATAGACATGACCAGTGTCGTGCAACTTTAATGTATCTGCATTACTGTACCTGTTGTGTTCCATAGTTGCTTTAGATATATATTTTATGAACTTAGCGATCCCTTTAAAAAACAAACAAACCAGGATCTAGTAATAAATGCCAACATTACTTTAAAGAAAACATTTAGTTAAAGGATTACTGGCGTGATAACACTATTACATAATTCTGCATTTAAAACCAATATGTTCCTAATTTGTATGGGAGGATAAGCTGATAGTGTACAGATAGTCTGGAAAGTGAGATTTGAGTAAGTGTACCTGTTAATGTACTATAGGAGTGAATGCTTTCAAACCACATTGTTGTGCTGTAAAGGCAAATCAATATAAAGTGTGAACATAATCCGCATGACATCCTTGAGTAGCAAGGACTATCCATTGGGGATCTGTTAAAAGATTATCAATAAGAACCACAAGGTTACATGGAGTACTGAAAAAAGGATCCCACATTAATGTATTCTTAGTAAAATGTTCCTAACAGAAATATAAGGTCTGCCACTGATGCTAATAAAAATGCTAGTTGCCTGGCTCTTATGCAGACCCTCTGCTTAAATAGTGAGCCAGAACAAATTGATAGATCATGAAAGTCAGGGAAAAGTAATATGGTCCTTATCTGTATACTTGTCAATGGCTCAAAATATTAAATAAAGAAGGTCAACATGAAATTGTTTAATACATCCTTTGTATATCTGTTTTTTTATGTATTTTGTTAATAAGATTCAGAGTAAAGTAAATATTTGAATATGCTGGGAAAAAAAACCCAATTGCAATGGAAGTCTTATAATATATAATATATGAAGTCAAGAATAGCAAGCTTAGCATTGCTAAAACTGGGGCAATGCACTTTTTACATAAACGCTGTCATTGCTGACTGATAGAGGTGAAAGATATAAATGGTTCATTTTATGAAGATCTCTGATACCTTTGCAGAAAATTGAATAGAAGACCTTTAGAAACTGAGCTTCTATCGCTGCCCTATGCCATAACACTGCAGAAAATGATTCAGCATGGCTGCACTCAGTGTGATTTTACTTTATAACTATAATCCAATTATTAACAAACTCTGCAGAAGAATATTATATTATTTTTATTTCTTTTCACACACTCTTTTCCTAATGACAGATTCTGTTTAATATAGTACCTGCACACTTTATGGTCTCTCAGTACTCCTTATTTGTATTTTATTTTTTTTAAACTGAATGTCTGTTACTTTTATTATATCATTTTTGCACCAGGAAGACACTTGTGAGCTGTCATTAATTTCAGAATTGTGTTTATTTCCTGGTGGTGAGGGGTATCTTTTGAATGGGTCACTCTTGGGACATGCTATACAGTATATGCTAGTGTATAGCTACCATACATATATCCGTAGAACAATCCAAGAAACATTTTTATACTGATTGTTCTGTTGCAAAGCTTTCCTTAAATTTGAATTCAATTTTAGGAAACTGATGCATTTTTTTTTTGCTCAAATAACTTTTTGAATGTGATATGGATGCTTGTTCTGTTGCAGAGGTTTCCCTAAATTTGAATGCAATTTTAGGACACTGTCAGCATATTTTTACTCAAATAACTTTTTTTTTAAGGTGATATTCATACTAACAAACCTTCTACTAAATCAGTAAAGAAGGTGGTTATATACAGTAGCCTTCTGAAATGTTTCAAGCCTTCTAATCCAACTAAACAATTATCCTCAGAATTGGATTGAAATATACTGGATTGTGCTTTGTGTCTTGTGATTGGCTGTTTTCTTGTAAACTACCAGTACAGGCTGCCTGACCTAAGTCATTGAATTCTGTTCTGCATCATCCAAGGTTCACTTGTAGCAGGGCTATGCCGACTTCTTTTCATGAATGGTAACACAAATCATACCAGAATCTTTATAAAACCAGATCATTTACTACTATTATAAACATACAATGCATACACATATTTTTGTACTTGAAGATGTATAAATATGCATACATTTAATTCTAAAGAAAAGTAAATAGTATATAGCACATTAAAAAAGATCACACTTTTGCAATCTTTTTTAAATTGACATAAAAAGGGCATTTTCAGCATCATCATCAGAATTAACCCCTGAAGTACGCCACAATTCATCAACCTATTTATCAAGATGCTTGAATAATTTGGTTTTGATAGTAAAACAACAGTTGCTAGGCTTATGTTTTTTACTGTATAGTGACAAAAATTCTGATCAGCAATGCAATGATTACATTTCATAGGCATGCTTTCTGAAGCATCTATTCTGCAAATGTATTCATTAAATGCAGCAAGTATCACGGTGGATTATGCTGAAGACAGCGCTGAACATCATGTGGATATCAATGAACGTGTTTCCATAGCACATGCTCATGTTTCATTGATAAATTTCTCACTGCAGTTGTAAAACAGAGGCTTGACTTGTAAGCTGTTTAAATGCTTTAGTTGAGTGCCTTGTGCTGCAAGTGCTGTTTATTTTCTTTGAAAGAATATGTCAGCACACACAGTTCCGTCAATAATGTTGAATAACCGTCTCTCCTTTCTTTAGAATGAGACAATCAAGCCACCCCCATTTCTGGCAGATAGATGCAAACTTATTGCTTGCCCAGTTAATCTTATGAGAATGTAACTGCTGAACCTGGAGCCTGGCACACGCAACAATGGGAGCCAATAACTCATCCAAAACCCCTTTGTGTGATGGCAATGATGAAGGTAAGTTCTGCAAAATCACCAACATGCAGCTAAAACCTGTATTGTACACGGTTCTGTTTTCTTTCACATTTTTGGTCAACGCTGGCACCAATGATTGGAGGGCACAATATAACTTTAAAATGGACCTAAACTCAAAAAGTATAGATTTGCTGTGTTAATGGGAACGTTGAGAAATGTTCATAAGGTGCCAGAATAGTACCCTGAAAAATATAGAATTTCCCTGTATTGAGTGCCATTCATCATTCCTTCAATTCTGACCAGTTTGCCAGCCCCTGCTGATGAAAAACATCCCTCAGCATGATGCTGCCACCACCATGCTTTACTGTGGATGGTGCTCTCGGGGCGATGAGGGGTCTTGAGTTTTTGCCAGACACAACGTTTTCTTTGAAGGCCAAAAAGCTCAATTTTATTCTCATCTGACCAGAGTATGTTCTTCCATATGTCTGGGGAGTCTCCCACATGCCCTTTGGTGAACATCAAACGTGTTTGCTAATTTATTTCTGTAAAGCAATGGCTTTTTCTGGACACTCTTCCAAGAAGGTCAGCTCTGTGGAATGTATGGCTTAAAGTCGTCCTTTGGACAGATACTCCAATCTCCACTGTGGAGCTTTGCACCTCCCTCAGGGTTATCTTTGGTCTCTTTGTTGCCTCTCTGATCGATGCCTTCTTACCTGGTCTGTGTGTTTTGGTGGGCAGCCCTCTTGTGGCAGGTTTGTTGTGGTGCCGTATTCTTTAAATTTTTTAATAATTGATTTAATGGTGCTCCGTGGGGTGTTCAAAGTTTTGGATTTTTTTTATAACCCAACCCTGATACTTCTCCACAACTTTGTCCCTGACTTGTTTGGAGAGCTCCTTGGTCTTTATGGTGCTGCTCGCTTGGTTGCACCCCTTGCTCAGTGGTGTTGCAGACTCTGAGGCTTTTCAGAACAGGTGTATACATACTGAGATCATGTAACATTTAGATTGCAAACAAGTGGTCTTTATCTAAAATCTAACTAATTACGTGACTTTTGAAGGTAATTGGTTGCACCAGATCTCATGTAGGGGCCTTATAGCAAAGGGGGATGAATACATATGCACACACCACTTTTCCGTTTTTTTATTTTTTTATAATGTTTTAAAACAAGTTATTTTCTTGATTTCACTTCACCATTTTGGACTATTTTGTGTATGTCCATTATATGTAATCCAAATTTAAAAAATAAGGAAAAATGCCAAGAGAGGTAAATACTTTTGCAAGCCACTGCGGACTCTAGTAGGAGAGGAAAGAGCACAGAGACAGCAGTCCTCAACATTAAGCAGTTCTTTATTTAATAAAGTCATAACGTGGTGAAACCCATACAGCTTCACAATACCGTAAATCACTTTATTGAGATAACTTTCAGTAGTGCTTACTGGCATACAGCTGTTTACTTTCCACCATATCACTATCTCACTGGTTTAATACTATACTTTAGTACTAATGCTTAGATTACTTAAAAGCCCAGAACATACCCTGTTAATGTTTATTGGCCCTCCTAATCACTTAAGTGTTCAAATGTTTTTAGCCTTAATGGCAGGGAAGACAATAATGACACCCACCACATTCTCTGCAAATACTAAATAAATTCATTTGATGGTTACCATATCAGTCAAATAACATTAAAGTGTATGTAAAGGCAAAACATGTTGTTTTACTTTTGGGTGGAATGTTAAACGGTTAGATCCTTTGTCAAGTCTTTATTGCTGTCTGGGTCCCCGATGTGAAGACTCTGGCTGCTGACCATTGTATCCAAAACAGAAAATGAGGGCAGACCAAAAGTTTTAGAGTTGTCACCAAAGAAAGAACTAAAAGAAGCAATGTGGACAAATGTTCCCATGACAACAGTCTAAGGTCGCAATCCTCCTTACTTTGGGTAGATTTCCTGTTGCGATTCCAGGTCAGGAAATTAAAGGAACACTCCCAAGCAGAATATGCACATCAAAAAATAACCAGATCAGGTTTTCACTGCTTCCCAAATACCAAAAAAAGGTTTTGCTATGCGCACATAAAAAATTGTGAGGGCAGTCCGGAAGACCAGCACTCAGAAGGGGGAGTCCACGCACCAGTGTATATAGGATTAAGGGTAAGGGGTGATACTGGTGTGCGGCTTCCTGATAGTACGGACCAGGGTGTCCGACATGTGAAAAAAACAAAGAAAAAGGCAAAGGGGGAAGCGCTACTGCCCGGAGAGGATAGAGGTGGGCCGGGCGTGGAGCTTAGTTAATTGTGAGGGTGGTCCGACTCACTTGATGGTGATGGGGGGCGAGCTGGTATGTCCCTTCACGGTATGGGTAATTCGGGATCACTTGGAGACACAAAGGGTGAAAGCGAGAGATGAGAAATCACAGATGATGGAAACACAGTGTGAAGTGTAGAGACTCACCATTGAGTAAGGAAAGATGCGTTGTCATCGGCGACGGCGGTGATGAGGTCCTTGCTGAGGCAGGGTGTCAGCAATTGTAGAAATCTTGAATGCTGGAGCGGAGATGCTATATCCAGGCTTGGAGTAGTTCGCAGTTTATGCTGTGGCGTCCTTGTTGCTAGGAGACACAGTTGGGACGTGGAGCGGCAGAGGAGCCGGAGTATGGCAGCCTGGGGCTGTTGAGGACCTGCCATCTCTGGGTGGAAAAGTCCTCTGGTGTAGGGAGATGAAGGTGGTGCAGGCTTCCAAGTTGCAGCACAGTGGAGCTGTGTCTGCAGGGAGCCTGTGTCTGGACGTAAGTGGGTCTTGCAAATGAGGCCGCGATGGACGTCTGCTGTGAGGAGCGAGAGAGAGCTGCGGGCACAGAGTTCGAAGAAGGCTGGACGCACGGACTGGGCCACTGGTGTGGGGGAAGAAAAGAGCTGTGGAGATGTCTCTTACAAGTAGGCAGGAAGGGCTACGCGTTTCGAAGCGCTGTGCTTCTTTATCAAGCCGGGTGTGCAGGGGGGACACCCTGCTTGATAAAGAAGCACAATGTAGGTATACTTTTATCTTATGTAGTAATATTTGTAATGACCACCTAGCCAGAAATTTGTAATGACCACCTAGCCAGAAAGCAAGTGGTAATGATAGAAAATGTTCAGCCTAATTAGTATGTAACTAAGGCCACAGATAACAACTGATTTGCTCAAGTACACTGTAGCATAGTACTGCTCATGGCTTTCCAGGAAGGCAATCAACAGCAATTTGTGAATAGTTAGCCTCACAAATGATGAAGCCATATAGTGTCCTTGTATTTTGTTTTGGCCTTGTATGTGCGGTTGTAGTGACGCTGGATTTCAGATATTCTTATACATAATGAACTCTTGTGACTACTTGATGTTATTTCTTTAAAAGGAAATCTCCACTTTAAAAAAAATAAAATTGAGAAATCGTAAAAAAAAAAGAATATGGCATATATAATTGCTGCACAAAGCATTTTGTATTTTGATGTTATTAAAAATTACCTTTCCATTTAGAACTACAGCTGCTGTAATTTTCTAAATCTGTAGAAAAAAAAAAATAGGTGCAATATAGTGACCTGGTGGTGCATTGTACACAGTTGTTGTCCAGAACACCCCCCGAAATGTAACTTCCTGCCCCTGTGATTGGCTGACTGCTTTTCCCAAAACTTTGCATTAGGATACAAAATTTTAGCATCCCTTGAAGTTGGTTGTTCTGTGTGTTCAGGATCTTTTCATAAACTTCGGAAGGATCACATAGAAGACTGTCTATGAATGCCTGTGTCCAAATAGGAGGAAGTTAGCTAGGGATTGTGTAAAATATGTGATTGGCATTTGCACTTTTGTGGTCACAAGAGGTTTGAGAATAAACACTGGCTTTCTGTTCTCTTGGTCACATGGCCTATTACTGCCGAGCTATTTAGCCTCTCTCTGTCAAAGAAGTAGCCCGCCTGGGCCCAATTGTTGCCTAGCAGGTCATTAAGGGAGGCTGTGCAATGCTCCCTAAGGTAGATTGGATGAAAATATGGGTGAATGTTGAGAAATATGCAATTTGGCCAATTTTGCTTGTCATCTCACTGTTGTAAATTGATGATGTAAATATACAGAATATTAAAAAGCACCTAGACTCTTTTCTGGAAAAAAAACTTTATCAAGATTCTAAACTTAGAGCCAGTAAGACGAGACCGACCTGCACAAACAGAGAGTTGCATATCAAAGGAACATTTAATATGGATCATCAGATTTTTTCGTCCATTGATTAGCATGCCTCTGATTCCTGATTGTCCAGTTCTTGATTGCCAAACATTTAGGTATTGCATCACCTTTGACATATAAATTATTTTTAATAAGATAAGCCCAGAGATTGATTTAATAGAATAGAATAGAATAGAAATAGTTACTATTTATTGCCTGGTTGTAAAGAAACCCAGACATCCTAACCTGCAAAAACTAATTTTAGGAAGGGGTTGGCAGGGATGGGGGCACCTCTCTGAAATTATGGCAGATAGCAGAGAAGCTAATGCTTCCCAGGTAAAATGAATAGCTAGGCTGCTACTGGCCATTTCAAATTGCAATAGCCAATAGCAGGCTGGCTATTGCACCCGCCCACTGCTGCCGTCAATCAGCAGAGGAGGACCTGAAGGAGAACTGCTGTTGGCTATTGCAATTTGGAATGGCCAGTAGCAGCCTAGCTATTCATTCCCCAGATACCTGCTGGTTTGTTTGTTTTTTATTCTGACGACGGCCGCTGTCAGAACAAAACAAAAAAAACAGATAGCAGGCGAATCAGCAGATAGCAGGGGATCCCGGAAAGGTTTACTCTGCTAGATAGAGCAGAGTAAACCTTTCCAGGATAAAATGTTTTTCTCACGGGCGCCCTTATTTTATAGCGGGCGACTCACAGAACATCCGGTAGAGTTGGGATGTCTGGAAACCTAATAAATAAATAAACCTAATAGGTAATGAAAGCTACAGCCTGCTTTAGGAAATGGTGATTATTAGCACAAATTAAAGGCACATATATTTATTTTTGCATCTATATTTACATTAAGCA